AGTTCAAATACTCTATTGTAACTCCAAGTTCATCTAAAGGACAATTTGACTGTGCAATCTGAAAATAATTGGCCATGTCTGAATAAAAAGATTTGGGAGTGGAAGCTTAAAATAATCAATAGCATGAAAGAATTACTGCATATGTACTTTTTCTCAGAGATGCTGTGAATTTTTTTTAAAAAACCTACTCGAGATCTAAAAGTAGATGCATTCTTGTGTCCTCTAGAAAGTGAAGATTTCATCATGGAGGCTATATGAAAATAAGAAACATCTAAAGACCAACTCATTTGTGCACTTTAATCTTTATTTTAAAAATTGTATGCAGATGTCTTGGAAAGCAACTTTTGGTGTTCACTTAAATGTATATGATCAAATCTCTGCAAACCAGCTTTAAAGTTTCCCAGTGGGCAGGACAGGGTTAATTCCATTTTCTTTTGTCCTGGAAAGCAGTGTGTGCAGGAGTCATATTGACACTCCCCCTGTGTGGGTAACTCTACTCCTATATTGACATGTTGCTCGTCAAGAACACAATAGCACTCTGTCTGCAAATCACTGCTAAAATCATCTTTTTAAAAAAGTTTGAAAGCCTTAAGGCTTAGACAAAGGCACGAGAGCTCAGCTGCAGTGCGCAGTTCAAAATTCCAGAGTCAGCAACTTCTATTGATTAAAAACTAACCTTTAAAGTAACTCTCGGAGTGTGCGGTTAGCATTTAAATTTAAACATGTCATGAGTTGATTTGTGTTACTGAATACCAACTCTGAAGGAGTTACATTCACATCAGAGTTTTTTTTTCTAATTCCCTTAAGCAGCTAAAGTATTTCATGAAATGTCAGTAGGGCAGGAGAGTAGGAGGAAGGTGTTTATTGGGAGAGGGTGTGACTGGCGTTAGCCCTGCGAGTTTTCTTTCCCATGCAAATATTCAACTCCCCCTCCCCAACACTAAAAAGAAAAGTGTGGGGAGTGCAACACAATAATTAGCCCTTTGTCTAACTTTCCCAAGTGCCAGAGAGAGGCTGATTAATTAAATATACAACAGTGTTGGGTTTTGGAGTGGGGGTCTCGCTTGTTGGGTAGGTCATAAATTAGGCTGAATAAATACTTCAATGTGTTTGCAGTGGGCCTGCTACGTCAGAGCCACTGGAAGGTTGGTGGGAGGAGAGCAGAGTGTTTCTTGCTAATGATAGTCACGTCTGGGTCTGTCTGGTTGCTATGAGCAACCAGACATGATGTAACACCAGGATGAACTTGAACTTGGGGGACTTGAAAAGGGAACAATAGACCAGAGCAATCAATAAAGCCTATTTCAGTGAAGGATTACAGAGCTGCTCTGGGGTAACCTTGTCTGCAAGGCACACACTGAATAGTAGATGGGTGAAGAAACTTTTTTTTTTTTCATTTTTGAGAAGAGTGCAGAAGCACTGCAGAATTTTTTTTAAACTTCATGCAGTGAGTAGCAGAGGGAAAAAAAGTGGCATGGAAAAGTGCACCCCCTTCTGTCCAAAATGTGCACTGAGTATTAAGAAAAGAAATACTGGACACAAGCTGCATTCTGAAAGAACATGAGGAGTTTTAAAACTTTTGCTACGTATCCTTAAATGACACAGGCCACATCAGTTTGTGGGCAATCTGAATTAAATCCCATTAACTTGGGGGTAACTGCTGAAATATTAATTATAACCTCCTCTCTACCTTTAAAATTAGTTTAAGGTAACTGATGCAGATCAGCATTTAAAATTTGCTTATTTTTAAATGGGGCTTTCTTCAATAGTTGTATGATTGTCAGTAGGAGGACTTCAAATAATAGCAACGTAAGATAAATAATCAAGATGCAGTGGCAACACTTAGCAGGTAGTCAGGCTGGTCCTGAATATAGCTTGTCTGAAAACTGGGGAGGGAGTGACCTTTCCGTTCAAACATCTGGTTTCTGGAGAGCAACCCTTAGGATATTAATCCTAAACATTTGTGTTGGCACAAATGTTTGTAATCCTGATCGAATTGTCAGGGTCATGTTTTGCACTGACATGGAGTTGGTAACTACAATATACAATCCAAACACTTTCATGATGGTGCAGTAAGTCTTTTGCTCTGCTTGTAAAAACTCTTGAGAGCATGTTAATGTAACTTAAGATAGGACTGAAGTGCAAGAATCAGCCTTATGAAACACTTTCCAATTTCAAGCATTCAGATGGTGAGAGTAATCCAATTCACTCTCTATTAATCCAGTGAAGTTCTCAAACTCTCTATTCATCAAATGAACATTTTAAGCCAAAACTTATCTATGAAAGCTATTTCATTTAGTTATATCATCTGGATCTTAGGTTATAAAATCTGTAGAGAAAATATAGCAAATATATATAAGGGTGTTTGTAAAAGAGCAAAGAATTAGACAGTGGGATGAAAAAGAAACTAGGCAACCAAACTGACAGCTTTTCTGTTGCCAACTTATTTTTACCAGTATTTATTTAACCAGTCTCCATGACACACGGCCAAAGCCAAAATTGTGCAATCTTGAAGCCAGCAGGATTTTTGCTTTTCTTTAAAATAACCAATTTAAATATTAATAATACCAGGTACTTTGGTGCAATTTTGTTTTGTCTGGGAAATGATTGTGTCAGTAATAGCACTAGTTTTTGTCATTCATATCTACAGGAAATGATCTTCTTTGGTCACTATAAGCAGGTGTAAGCTACAGTGGTATAAGCGCAGTGCTGTTAATTTGCCATCATTCAAAGAAAAAGCAGTTGTGCGTTATCATACATTGGTAAAAGGGATCAACATTGGATAATTGGATACTGTGGCATAATGGATGACATGTTAGACTTGTAACAGGAATACCTGAATTTAAATGCCTGCTCAGCAATGAAGCATTCTGACTGTGGTTCAGTCACAGTCCAGTCAGTCTTATAAGAGTGTTAATAACAATAATAAAATGCACACTCAAAAGTTTGGTTACTCACCCTCCAATATGCTTCTGCAGGGCAGCTCTCCATACAGTGAGGCATAGCCTTCTGTGTGGAGCTTCCTGCATGAATCATTTCAACTGCTTGGACCATCTATACACCAGTGCTAGTCTCCACTAAGCACACAGAAGCAAAAGGCACAAAGAAGTTTCATGTAATTGCATGTGTTTCCAGTTGTAATAATTTTGGGCAGTTTTCAGATAGGAAGAGTAAGGTTTGAATCATTTTTTTAATATTATGGAAAGGTGGCCTGGACATGTAACAAAATTTCTTTTCATGTATAATCTCATGATGTTTGGCATTGTATCCACTTGTTCATTTGAAAGTAAGCAGGCATTATCTAGATGGAGACTAAAGTCATTTGCAAAATCAGAATTGAAAAGTTTTTGTTTTACATTTATTCTGTTCATACATATTTGGATTCAGTGACTTTTCGGGAACAATGAGAAACAATTAAGCCTAAAAATTATAGAAGGGAATGGGGAAAAAATCACTTTTTGAGTTGTTCACTCCAGCCTGTCTTGATTGACATCTATGCCCATTGCACAGTATTTGATGGAGTGCCGTCATTTGTTCCAAGCTTAATTTCATAGAACTTTTGTGCAGTCTTCTTCCTTCATTCACAGTCAGTCTTGACCAGAAACAAAAATTAGCACTTTCACTGAACCCAACAGTTTTATATTTTAAGGCTATATACTCTGTTCTTGACAGGAGCTTTCCATGGGACAAAACCAGTCTACATGCTATAACCAAACCTTGGCAGAGTCAACCTACGGAGGCTGTTTTAGGTAGCCACATTGTGGCAGTTTTAACATATAGACCAACACATAGCCGTGCCATTTTAGCAGACTACATATTCTATAATTGTAGAAAGTATTCTTCCGTGGGAAAGCAAAATGTGCTTCCCCTTCCAAATCCAGATAAAGTTCTCAAGAATATCTGACTGTGCTCGAGACATATGCATGGAGTCCAGCGTGTGGATTAGTTGTGGGGAAGATTATAGGAAACTATGTTTAGCCACAGTCTTCACATGACTGAATCTTAATGTTTTAATGGTTTTGCGGAATGTTGTAGGATTTGCCAATTTTTCTCTAACATTAGAAGCAGCTTCTGAATTCTTTCTGTGGCCGAGAGCCATCACAGTACTTCTGCTTTATCCTTTTTTTCTCATAGCCTCTTCTTTTCCCCCCCTATAGTTTATTTAACTATTTTCCATAACAAAAATCACATAAAAGTATACTCATATACATCATAATTTGGAGTTTCCTTTACATATTTTTTCCAAACCAACTGTCTACTTTCTGCCATCTTTTTTTAAACACATTTTCATCCTTTCCCGACAAAATCGTATTTACTTTATCCATTTCTTTTATTTCCATAATCTCATAGCCTCTTCTGAAGCTTCCTTGCTTCAAATGCGGTTTGAAGAGGAATGGGGGAAGTCTGTTTCTTTTAACAGGGACTTATTTTCATTCTGTTTCTGTTCGTTTTATGAAGTCATTCAATTAGAATCTTTGTGAATTGCACTTGGATATTATTTAAGTAACGATTAAAAGGCAGTGCAGTTTTCATGACCAGTTGGTTGAGTGGCCATACAAAAATTTTCTGTCATGTTATGCAATGATTTGTAAATCTCCTGTTTCATTTCCCGACAAACGAAGACAGAGACATAGTCCCATTTGCCTTGACTGGCCTTGACACATGAAACAGTCAAATCAGTCTGATACTATGTGTAGACTTCCTTAGGTAGGTAACCTTACCATAGTGCCTTCTTAGTCTTGTTAGCATTTTGTGGTTCTGCCTGATGTGCTTCAATCTGCTGGCTTTTGTATATCTTCTTGTATTTTATTTATTTTGTTTTAAGTTGATATTGATTGCAGTTTGACTTTCTGTAGCTGACGTTATGCTTTGAAGTTTCTCCAGCATTGTTGGATGGGGAGGCAGCATGCAGATTGTCTAAATAAACTAATGAGGGTTTCTTTGATAATGACGACACATTAAAAAAATTCTTCCCTTTCTCTTTTATTTCTTTCGTGCAGTCCTGGTACCTGGGATAAAACTCATAGCTTCCCACCATCCACCAGACAGACCACCTGACCCCTTCCCAGCTCTGTAACATGGAAGCAGCAGCAACACAGCGCAGTTACTTCACATCCGTGGAAGGGAAGAAGAACTGATATCAACAGCAAACTGATCATACTCAGAAACGGCAAAAGTTATGGTTGATTGACAAAGGCCGTAACATGGGGGGGATTTTTTTTTTTTTTTAAAAAGAACACCTTATTGACTGATGTAATTTCTCATATGGTGCTGGAAATGTTTGGGCTTCATAATTTTTGAAGTGTTTCAATTGGTAGTGTAAGCATTAGGGACACTGGGTAGTAGAGCTAGCCTGCTGGCTGCTTACTGACTTGCTGTTATAACACTTTCCATTTGTCGCCTGGTTGTTTTACAGTATTTTCATTGATTTATTTCCCATACAGGTGTGAAATTTCTTGAGAGATCATGAGAAAAAGACTTAAATGATGAGTTTTGTAGTAGCTGAATTCTGCAACATAGAGTTTACAGGACAGACATGGGGCATGTTTTTTCTGTAACATATCAGGATTTTTTTTTTAATTTTACGTCAGCAGTTAGATAGGTAACATGAATCATAAGAGCATTATCAACAGGTTGGTTTTCATTCACGTTGCAGAGAAATATAAAGCATCAATCTACTGCTATTCACAAGGAAAAAGACAAAGGTTTAAAATGCTGCACTTACATAAAATGTTTTTGACAATTTTCAACAATTACATAAAATCCACACGGAAATGGGGTAGTTGGTCTGTTTTGATAGAAACTGACAGGAATCAATCAAAACAATCGAATTTTGAATTGAGAAAAGTGCAATTTCATTGGATAGCTAAATATCTTTGTAAGATAGAGATTGTTGAAAATTCTATTTTTGTTTTCCAAGTCCTACCACCCCAGGACTCTAAATTATTGGGGTAAAAAACAGCCTTGCAAGAAAAAAGGGGGAGCTATTTTTGCTTTTTATGTTTTTTATTGTTAAACTTGTATCCCTTTAAAACTGAAGGAAATTTAAAAAAATAATAATGGTGCTTTTACCACAATATGTTATCTACATTAAATGCTAATTAATCATTTTCTGTTATCAAAGCACATAATTAAAAGTAAATCATAATACCTGTTAATTTTATAAGCTAAAAGTCACTATAATACATTATGCCAATTCTGACAAACTTTATGTGTTTCCAGCAATATAGGGAATATCACTTCTCAAAATACCTTGCTCACAACCCAGCACAGAGTTAGGTGTACTTCATCCCATTGGGTGGGTTTAAGCATACCTAGCCCTGGATTGAATTGTGACCCTTGCGGTAATAATAGAGAGCTGTCCAGAAAATGAAACGTCTCTGTGGCCCTGAACTGGTATTTTTTTTCTGGACTGTAAAAGCAAAAATAATAAGACAAAATGCTGATTTTGTATCTGATGCCAGTTCAAGGTAAGGGCACCCTGGGAAAAAAAGTTCGGACCCCAAATGTCCTGTATCTTATGTACAAAAGAAAAAAAAGAAAAAAACAGGAAAAATGCAAGTTTTTTTTTTCTATCAGACAGCGGAGCACCCCTTTGCTTCCCATGCAACTTTAAGAAGGTTTCCTATATTATACATATATATACGTTCTGGTTGGCAAGTCCAGCTAATCAGAGAAAGTCTCTGCATGTTCTAGTGTTAGTAACTAATTTTTATATAGTTAATGTAGGGTAAAGTAGAGTGCATTAAGACACAATATTGTAATCCCTAATCCAGGCACTTGCCTTTAAACTATGTTTGTTCAGCCCTTCAGAAGGGTTTCTACTACTGTCCTATACAATCAAGTAAACTGAATTTCTTGGGAAGACACTTTGCTCCTCATCTTTTCCCTGAAACTAATTTTTTTTTGTTTTGTTTTCTTGATTTGCACGAAACAAAAAAAAAATATCCATATCAATGTGCCTTGCCCTGGATAGCGATTATTTGTGGAATTGTTGCACATGTTCCTATATTGAAAGGGTTTTTTCCCTAGTCAAGCATTTGGAGACACTTTTTTGTAAATGTGACTTTTATGTCAGCCATTGTCAGTTTCAGCATCTTAGAATTCAGTAGAATGTTAGTCGTTTCCACAGATAGCGGTAGTGTTTTCTTGTCCTGTACGGTCAGTGGCAGTGCTATTCTGAGATCTGTAGATGCTAGATTATCAGTATTTTTGGATGTTGCTGCATTTTACATTTTATTTGGAGTCTTCCTTTTGTTTTTGTTTTCCCCAGATATATGAAAATATGCAATACCTGCTTATATCATGTAGAAGAAAAGCTTAGCAATTCTTAATTTTTCTTTGATTTTTTTTTTAATTTGACCAAAGTCAGTGCTGCACTTGACGCAGTGTGTTTTAGGTGTTTGTAATTTTTTTTTTGGCGATTTTTGAATGCACACGCAGGAAGGGCTCTTCTTAGAGAAGCAGTCAAACTGTGAAGCACTAAGCTGAACCCTGCTTCAAGCAAGTTTTGTTTTACAACTGTTCCTTTCACAAGCAAGCCTTAAAAAAAACCCTCCCTTTTTCTTCAGCTCCCACACCCATTTTTATTAGCAGATTGCAATCAATCCACATTCAATAAAAATATATAATGCCCATTTTTATATGCACGTTTTTAAAACTTCCAAGTTCTGAAAATTGTTTACTGGTTATTCTCTATTTAAGGAAAAAATGTTTTGAATTTTCATATATGTCAGATAAGTGGTTGAGTAGTCATTTGCTCTGTTGTATTGTGTGATTGTTAGTATTATGGTATCACATCCACTAGCCAGCATCCTTTGCCTTCCCTATAGCACTTAGCAGGGCATTACTTTATTAAGACATATGTGCACTAAAAAATAAAAAATAAAAAAATTAGCAGCTTTCAGTGCTTCACAGTGAAGGGAAAAAAGCCTAGACAAACATTTTGTCAGAACCTTGCTATAAGCCAAGGTATTACCAGTAAATTGGTTGTATATACAACAAAATTGCACCCTTTTTTAAAAAAACACAAAACAAACTAAGCAATAGTTTGGGCAGTTAGTTGTTTTTAGTGAGCATGTTGTAGTCATGGCCGCAAAGAGACAGAATCAAAGCTGCCCACTCAGAAGCGATGTAATTTGTATGTTGTATAGTTTTATTGATTACACTGATTTATTCTACCCTATTTTATAATGCAGGACTTTTGTAATGTTGTTTAAATGAGGAAAATTTCTGTCAAATTAGCTTAGTGGAATTTCTGATTGTTCGTTATAAAGGCAGCATTCATAGAATTGCTTTTTTCCCTTTGGGAACTGGATTTAAGTTAAAAACTTTCCTGTTTCCTTTTTGTATGTATTTAAATACAGTTATTTTTTTCTTTTCTCAATAGTATAGCATATTCCTATGCTTGAGAAGTATAGGCTACTGAAGAACCATTGTAAATGGACATTACAGATATGCTGTATTTTTGAAGGTGTTTTATCGTATTAAGTTTGAAGATGGTAAAGTTAGGGAATTCTGATCGGAATTGCATAAAACAAATTGTTTTAAAGGCTTTAAACGTTAGGTAGGCGGTCAAGGGTGTTTACCAACAGGGGTTGTAAAGTATTAAAGACACTAAATTAAATTTTGGTTCCTCTTATTATCATGCAGAAACACAGCAGTTCAGATCTGTTCAGGTGTGGAGAACAAACAGTGTTTTATTCCTCAGAATGGAACAGAGAATGGAGATCTTAGGGGAGACAGCTGCATGGGGTGTGCAGTCTACAACAGAAAAATAAGCTTGGGTCACACATCAGAATCAGATTCGCATTTGCATTGCCCATTGTGAAATTGCTTTTTATTTCTTTGTGCAAAGAATTTTTCTTTGTGACCCTTTCTCTGAAAACCACCAGACGCACAAACATCGACTTTTGCCCCCTTTTTCTCCCTTACCCACAATCAAAGTGACAATATGTCTCCATGCTTTGCTATTAAATATTTGCTCTTTTTATGCCTTTTTAAAATTGGGCCTTACCTGTTGTCATTCTGCACACCTCTGCAATACTGTATTTATTCACCATATTTTATGTTGTTTTTTAAAAGTTGGCTAAAATGAGCCATGGGGGTATGCCTTGTTTGTATTGTGATCTTGGCTCCTTCTCTTAAGAGAGTAAAGGAATAGAAACTTCTTGACTCCACAGTATTCAGTCAGCCCACAGGAATATGCAAAATCCCTCTACCTAGTTTTCTTTCACTATTTCCTTTCTGTTCCATATATTCTGCAGCTTTGTAGTAACAGTGTTAACATTTACCGTACACACACACACACAAACAAACAAAACACAAAAAACCCAAATACATGGCATAAAACAATTTTTCCCTTGTGATTTTTTAAAGAATGTCAGTACTATACTTTGCATTGTGTCTCTAGAAATATCTTTTTAAATTATTTTTCTTTGGTAGAAAGCCTCCATAGAACAAACATTGCAAACCACAACCGGCATGAAAATGTAAGGAGAGCTTCAATGGCACCTAAACTAAACCCATCTTTCATGAGATCTATTGGGGGAGATCTCATGAAATGAACTTTGCCTACCAGGCAAGGTTTCCATTAAATCAAGCTTACAGAGCCAATTTTGTCTTGAAGTCAATGCATGTATTACTCTTTGACAGTAAAACCCGGCTATACCACCATCAAGTCCAAGGCTGTGCAATAGTCTAATTAGTATCGAGTACATTTTCCTTTTATTTTTTCCAATAAAAAAGCAGTGGGATGAAAATTGCTTTGATATATAGCAGGTAACATTGAAGCTATTCCATAGCACTTAACTGTAGTGAATACTGTGTCACCAATTCTGAAATCAATTTAATGTTTAATGCAAATCCATTACATGGTGCTATTACAGGCTGGCAAAATGATTTACAAAAATGTGACAACTTGGGCTCAATTCACTCTGCTTTCCAACAATGTAAATGCATAGCAGTGTTTATCTGCATGAGAACTATGCACTAATATAAATCTGAAAGAAAAAAAGAAATATATCAACTTTGGTATCTAGTTTCCGTTTACTTCAATCCTTTGCCTTTTTGGTCATTATTATAAATGCCAGCTTTAGGACAGAAAGAAATATAAGAAAACCAGCATAATACCTGATATATTAAAAATGTAGTGCCTGTGAAATCTGTATTATATTGCTCTTCTGAAGTAAGATTTTTCTACACCAGTAGCCTTCGCTGTCTGTCAGAATCTTCTGATATAGGTGATGTAAAATAACCGTACAATATTAATGCATGCTATTCCATAATGCTTAGTGAGCTGTATGAATATTACTCAAAGTTATGTTAGTCTTTTATTTCTGACTCAGTTCTTGTCAGATAGGTTTAAAGATATTTCACTGAGAACACAAATTCTGTTTTTTTTCTTGATTTTGGGTGTTTTCAGTATGTTGGAGATATACATTTACTTAAAATTCAGTATTACTTGTGTTGGGGGGCATTCTTTATTCTTGAAGGCAGGCATGGGATTTGAAAACAGAAATCCATGTGGGGGGGTATTTTTGCTTACAAGCTTCCATAAGAACTTTAGGAGCTCAGTCTGAAAGAACAATAAGACATTGCAATCAAGGGACAATTCTCAAACTTTGAACTGACATTGGAAATGTTGTTTTTAATGGACAGTATTTAAACCAGGTACCCATGCTTGGCCCTTCTTCACACCAGACCTCCTCCTATTAAAACAACCTTTGAAGAACCTTTAAAAACCCAACCTCATATGGCTGTTTAGTTTCATGCACCACTGCAACTTCCTTTTCTTCAAAAGAAAATTCTGTATGAACTTTGGGCCCGATTCATGAATGGTCACTAGGCATTAACATAGGATTTGTATGTGTGTTCAAATTTGAGCTCTCTTCCCCCCCCCCCAAGACGTGTAAACTTCAGCATGTTGTGAGAAATTGATTTCATGTTAACCAAGGGACTTGCTGGAAGCATGATTTATCCCATACCTGCAATATCTAGATCATTTGACATGAATAAGGCAGAAGGAGGTCAAGGGGAATAATATTTTGATGACTGCACCCTCATTCAGCACTTTGCATAGATATGAGACATTTTACTGTGCTGTTGAGCAAAATATAATTCTCTTGGTCATACAAAAATCTGGAGATTTTGCATATATGTTGCACTTCCTTTCAGGATCTGTCCTTGAGCAAAGAGCATTTGCAATTCAAGATTTCACTAGGCATTTTATCTAAACAATCCTGTATCCTGGTGTACAGCCATCCCTCAAATTGGTTAATTTTTTTTCCATGCTAGGAAGGAAGAAGGCCAGAATAGTCACAGTCCCAAGGACAAGACTAGCTTGTAGGCAAACGCTGGAAAAGTTTGTCAGTTCAGAGTAGTAGAGAAGTGATCTTAATGTAGTCTTGGAGAGCACAAAAACTCCGTAAAGCAGTAGAAAACAACAAGAGTCCAGTAGCACCTTAAAGACTAATAAAATATGTGGCAGGGTATGAGCTTTTGTGAGTCACTGCTCACTTCTTCGGATAAGCAAAACAATGTGGCTGGATGAACAGGATCCCCTCTGTGCATTCTCTTTTGTTTCTGCTGTAAAGGCAAGAAATTGTAGTTTTGTAGTTATTTTGCAGGTTTGTAAAATATGTTAGAAGGAACATTCGTCTAATGAGAAATACCTATGGTGCACCTGCTGTTGCCTTCTTTGCACAATTAGGCATTCACCAGCTCACATGCTTAGTTCTAGCAGTCATATACTTTGATATTCATTTTCAATTTGGTGTTATCAAAGCACTTCCAGTGGACGTGAAAAATCTGTTCCAAAATCAATGAACCCCATGTTAATACCCCTGTGTCTCCACTTTTCTTTATGAATCGGGCCCCTTGTGCCTCTAGAATCTTTGTATTGACTCTCATAGTTATCATTTTAGTTTTACTGTGTTCTGTGAAAATTTGCAATTGGTTGAGAATCACTGTGGGCATCCATTCTTTTTTCAACTAAATCTCTGCAGGTTTTTTGAGCTGGTGTGGATTAGTTTAACTCTTGTATTCAACCATTAGTGCTACCACCCTCTCACATTACAATACGATTACTGGAAGCAAGTACTGCATTTCCTATGCAACAAAAAAGGAAAATAAAAAATTGCTAATGCTAACAAGTTTTGTTGGTCTTTACTATGCAGTGTGTATGTAGGTATCTTTACGTGTTTATGACATGGGATTTCTGCCAGATTTCTGAAATCTGTTGTAGCAAGAAAACATGACTTGGCAATGGGCTACAGTGGAACAGAACATTTTGAGAATATTTCAACATCTTTATTCTGGCATCACAAGCAGGTACAATGAACAGCTCAAGCAGTCCGGGTTTCAAGGTAACACCAGTACCAGCTTCTGCAATCTGATTTGGAAAGCATTCTATTAGAAATTAAAATGCTCATGTAGATTGGCCATCAAGAGATCAATCAGCATGTGAGTGTGCTTTTTCAGCAGTTCCTGGGATACAGTGTTCGGGAAGTCTTAGCAACAGCTGCTATTGCTCCCAGTAAATCTGCAGGGTAGATAAGCTGCCTGTCACTGAAGGGGGGAAAGCACAAAGGTCTGCCTTTATTCTCCCTTCTCAGCAAGACAGGTGGGCTGACTGTTGCTGCCAACCTATAGCATGTTTCCCATTTGCCTTATTTGCCATCCAGCAAATACGATCAAAGCGTTTCCCTCTGCCCCCTGCTGGGCATGTTGGATTGCTTTCTCATGCCTTTATATCTTCCCACCAACCTGCCTTACAATACAAGAAGCAAAACATTTTCCCTCCCTACACAGCTTCATAGAATATCTCAGGCAAAGAAAAGATCTTTCTACAGAACCAGTTCTTCCAAAATCAAATGAGATGGTGCAATCATTAGTGATACCTTTTGTGACTATCCTATTAGCAGCATCGCTATAATGTGCCTTTGAAGCCTCAATCTTTCTGCTTCCTGCTGCCCAGAACCAGACAACCAAGTGCCAGAGTAACCATGACTGGAAGGCTTCTGCCTGTCCCTGAATGCTGGCAAATATTTTGTCTGAAGTCAGAAACATTCAATTTTGGTCATGGACTCCCCTGAACCTTCCAACACGCTCCCAAATCAGTTCGCTCTCTGATCTGTCATTCAGAGGGTCTCCCTATCCACTGGCTGCTTTGCCTGAGTCCTGCCTCCAACATTCTAAACATTTTGCTCTTCCTCTCCCCCCCACA